ATAGCAAATGTGCTTGTCTGAGGCATGCTATCTTCCTACTCTAGCTCTGCAATCAGTGTGCAAAATAGAGGTAGGAGCAAAATTTTTGACGATGCTGCAAAACTTCGTGACCACTGTCAGTCAGCTCCAGTCCATGGGAAAATGCTAAGGAAAAGTCATGCTTGTCAGCCAGAATCGACACTCAACACAATCACCTACCCCGGGGACCGGACAACAAGGAGACGCCACCTGCTTCTGGCGCCTCGCTGCTCACATTGTTCGTGGCATCGTTGTGGCCCGGAAAAACAGAAGTGCATGCACGGTCCAGGCCATAGTTGGGAGATGCAAAAACATTCCTTGGCGTTGGTGGAGCTTTCTGACGACCTGAAACAACACGTGCGGTGCCGCAAGTGCTTTTGAGTGTTGTCAAACTCAAACCTGGGCCCCAGGCCTGCATAGCCTCCCCTTGCCTTCGGGTTTTGACAGATTCTGGAAGACTCTGAATGGCTGCTGAATGCCAACGCAACACACTTTGTACAGCTAATGCAAATGCATGCTGAATTGGGTCAGCCCGCACTGCAGCTGGCCAGTTCTCAGGGTCCAAGGTGGCAGTGCGATGCCCTGTGTACTTTTCAATGAACACTTCAAGCTCACGGCGCTGATAGCCTGCCCTGCAAGAAAGCAGTCACAGGACTCAATAGAACACATAGCAACAGAACCTGAACGTGAACAGATAGGGCTTTCATGAACATTTGACACACCACAAGAATATGCCAGTTGAGGTTCCTTCAGACATCACCTGCCCATCACACATCAGCACTTTGGTGGCACACGAATTTTGTAAATTGAATCCAAAATCTTCTTTTGCATAGAACACGTTTTGATGATATCAGGCGTTCATTCATTTCCAATTTAACAAATTAGATTTGTTTTCTCCTTTTGCCAGCTGGCAAAACTTAATCCAGGCAAGTTCCGTTCGCTGTCTCATACACACTGTGAGAGGAAACAATGTCAAATATACACATTAGCGCACTGCGGATGCAAGCGCAGTTTGGTGCAGGGGCCAAAAAGAATAACGATACTATTGTGCCGTGAGCTCAACCCTATTGGATGTAAGGAGAAAAGCCAATCAGAACTTCAGTTGATTTGCAGGAACAGAAAGATACTGCTGACAGAAACAGTGCTATGACGACTTTCATCTGGGTTTCGCACAAGAGATGCAGTGAAGCTGCAACGCATTCCTGATGAGCATGAATCTCTGACCCCACTCCACTGCAGCATTACTTGCTGCAACTGCAGGTGGGTCCCGCTTGCAAAAATTTGCATCCAAGTGGCAAAATAGCACTCATGCACCTCTGTTGCTGTACTGGACACGTGCGCATATATTCTGGGTGTATGCCCCCCAATGGCTGGTGGCTACATATTCCAGACACTTGCATTGAGGACATTGGCAACTGGAAGTGCACATGAGAAGGGATCGCTGACCCTGTTCACAGCAAGTCTCCTCCCCAGTGGCGCTCACCTGCAGATCTTCCACATCAGGTGTGACAGCCCAGCTGGCCGCAGGTATTCTGATCCAACTCGTCCAGTCTCAAAAAAATGAATTGCAGGCAAGACGCCCAGCAGCGCGTGTGTCGCAAGCCAGGCAAGCTGTTTCTCCTCGTGCTGCCCTTCAGCTCCAAGCACCAGCCCCAGGATGCCTGAGCTATCATGGTTCGAGCCCAAGGGCATAGGGTGCTCAAATGTGCCAAGGGTGGGTTCTGCATCGTCGCCATGTTTAAATCTCTTTGGTGCGGGTGACCTCGGGCTGGCCTGCCCAGTTCCAAGGTCCAGCTGCCCAACGCCAAGCCCGATTCCCGCCACTGTTTGATCGCTTCCCACATCGTCAGCCCCAAAGCAAGTGCCATAGCCAGGCTGCATGTCAAATGGCAGTCTTCCAAGCCAGGAGGGTTCATGAACATCACTGTCATTGTTGAATCCCTGACAGCCACCATTGGGCTCCCCAGAAAATGCTGCTTGCCGACGATGCGCCTTGAAGTCCAGATTGGGCCTCCACCCAGTGTCAGGCTCTCTGCTAGGCTGATGTATAGTGCTCTCAGGCTCCATGTCATAGAAATCTGTCCATCGTGACATGTTCATTTCAGTGGGCACCTGCAACAGCTTCTTAGGCACCCAGTCATTGGCCTCTTCATACATGCCCTCTGCAGACTGTGGTCTGCTCAAGGGACCTTCCAGGTTGTTGGATCTATCATCTGCAGGGCAATGCTGTGGCACACTCGAGTTGAAGGATGTAGGCACCGATCCTTCCAGGTGCAGCAACACTGACAGTATTGCGGCATGGCTTTTCAATGGAATCGTGTTGTGGCAGTCAAGTGGTGCATCCACTTCGGCCAAGTCTACAGCCTCGCATCTGTCCAACACCAGACATAACATCTCATGCAGCTAACAGCCAGCATACAGGCCATATAATTTGTTTGTTTCGGTGCACAGTGTGGCATGCTGTGCAGCAGATGATTTATGCTGGGTGCATGTTTTAGAGCATGGCAATCCTTACCCTTCCAAGGCGATGTCAGACACCGATGGCCATGGCCAAAGGGGCATACATGCATGTGTTAAAGAGCAGGGCAGACCCAACATCAGGCAATGCACTTTCTTAACAATCGGGTTTGCTGTGAGGCGCATCTCTACTCACCCCTTGAACTGGTTGCAAAGATTGCGTAGCCGCGAAGCTTGGCTGGAAGACTGCATGGTTTGCTGCCGTGAGAGGATGGTCTGCAAGTCCATATGAATGCCAGTACAGCTTCAATTCTAACAAGCACACATCGTTGGCCAAGATTTGGATGGACGGAGTGGTGACTTGCCTGTTTTGCCAGCAGGCCCTGTTGCTTGCCTGCTTGGCAGGGGTGCATGCTGAACAGTGCAAAAGCAATCCCTAGTATGACGCAGTACTGGGTCAGCTCAATTTTGACCAAGTGACCTGTCAGCCCGTCGTATCCTTGTCAGAAGAAAGGCCTCAGGCACCAAGATGGATACTTGACAGGGTTGGATGGGCAGTATTTCGATGCTCCGAAGAGCCGTCAGGATCTGTTGAAGCCATAGGATGGGATGCGTGTGAAGTTGCAAGTCTGATGAAGCCATTTCAACAAAGAGCAGGAGCCAAAGCTGTACCAGCCATGCCCACCCACAGATTGCTCGCAAACACAAGGTAAGCAATTCAGGGCTTGAACCTTGTTACAAGGTAGCCATGGATTTGGATGCCCTCATTCTCCCGACCGGAAAAGGAAAGACCTTTTGGATGCTCGGCACTTCGGATGCCCAAGCAATGACTGCGTCCCAGCGAGCCAACAACAGCACTTCTTGTCAACCGCACCCACCGTCGTCACGCGGAGCGCCACGAATTCATCCCTCTCGTCTTCGTCAACGTCCAGCGTCTCTGTCTGCAGGTCACAGACCAGTGAGAACGCAGCCTCCCTCGCGCGGCTCCCTTCAAGGGGGCTTCCGAAAGATCCACGTTGCAGCGCGGCCCTGAGACATCCCAATGCCGCCGCGATCGACGGAGGCCAAGGCATTCAGAACTGCGCCCCGCCCGCACCTGTGTCCTCCCGAGCAGGATCGAATACGCGTGCCGGAACAGCTCCTGCCGCCTGGCCCGCCGGCCCTCATCCCCCCCCAGGCCCTCGTCATCCCCGTCCACCCTCGAGACCAGGCGCCGTATCAGGGCCACGACGCTCAGCCCCGGCGGGCACACCCCCATGGCCGCCTCCGCCCCTGGCCACCCAGCAAAGGACCAAACCGCAGAGAAAGGCAGGCGCAGCCTCCCGCTTCCCCGGCAACCGTAATGGGTTCCTCCCCTGCCAGAAAGCGCGGGTCGGCTGGCTCAAATCTGGCAGGACTGTTCCCTGAGGCCCGGTGTTCGGCCTGGCGGCGGGGGGGGCATGATGCACGCCAACCAAACAACCGAACAGGGCGCGTTGCCACACGTCCTGGGCTGGTTGTGCCCGCTGGTTGTGCCTCCCGTCGCCCGAGCCCAGCCCACCCGCGCCCCGCGGCCGCTGGGGCGAACATGCGGTCGGGCCAGACGGGTGGCGCGTTCCAGGGGTGCCAGGCGCGGCCAATGCGCGGTGCTGTTGTCCCCCTGTTGGAGCAGTTGAAGGGCAGGCCATGCCAGACCGCCTTCCGGCCCCTGTCCAGTCCCGCCCCGCAGGCGCCGCGGCGGTCGCGGCGGGGAACCCGCCTGGTGGTGTCCATGGCCGCGAAAGGTGGGGCATTTGGTGCGCGCTTTGTGCGCGGGGGCTGCCGCGTTGATGTGATGTGTTCGATTGTTGATCGTCTGGCTGTCGGTGGTCGCCAGTTACTGGGAAGATCACTTTGGCTATCGACGCCGGGAAGGCCAACCCTGCGCCACCTGTGGGACCTGCGCTTGGTGCCCAGGTGAGAGCCGCCCACAGCCACCATCGCTGGTTTTGTTGTCATGCCTTCGCAGGTCGAAGGCGGTGTCACAAACTGTGTGCATACTGGCTGATTGTGTCAGTGGATAAAGTCCTCCCCAACATCGCATTTTATTCAAATAAATGGTTTCGATTGGGTGATTTGATTGTTGTGTGCTAATGTTGGCCAGTTGGGCATTGGGTACAACTCGATGGAAATCAAGTTTTTGGCAACAATTTTCTTTTCAGGGGCAATCAATGCCCTCACAGCAGTCAGGGATGTTGGAACCGTTTGTATTTCCAGGCAGGGCTTGTGCAACAATTGCTGCCTCCCCAATAGCACCTGAATTTGAGGTAGGTTCTTGAATCTTGCAATGTTCTGGCAGGGCGTGAACATCATGCAGTTCTGCAAGCAATACAATGCAGCAACAGCTGACAAAGTGGGGCAGGTTATTCCAGTGGAGATAACAGTGTTTCAGGTGAGGATACATGAGAAACGTGGAAATTGGGAGTTTGGCTCCAACCTGTTGCTCTGAAATTGAGCATCATGAAATGGTTTTGTGGTTGTGCAAATTCCAAGCTCTACGCCATACTTTATCTGTGGTTAGTTTATTCAATCTGAATTTCGAATCTGCAGTCCATTTATTGAACTGGAAACCACATTACCACCATGTAAATGCACGTTTATCTCTCTGCAACAAGGTATTTGCCACAGCAATGTGAGAGAAGAGCAGACCCAACTCAGAATTCATAACTCATGGACCATCGACTTCACATGAGTTCCAAGACAGGTTGCACCAACTGGTGGCAAAATGCGAGTACCTTAGAATGGGCCATCCATTGCGATGTACTTTTTTTTGCAACCCAAGCTGTGCGGTCTATTCCCAAGGTATGGATGCACAGCGGTCTGTTAATTGCATCAGAACATTCCTGTAGTTGCTGTTGAACACAGCATTATGCAGTGAATGTTGCATTGTGATCTGGACTGCATCACAGTGGATTCTTTGCAAGACGAACAATGTTGTTGCTAGGTTGTGGATACCTTTTTGACATTTTTTTTGCAGGACAAGAGTTTCACCTTCATCCTGAAGACACCACCCACCTCATTTTTGCTCAAGAAGGCTGCAGGTGTGTCATGGCACTGTTGTTTCCTCCCTATTGTACACAGCAAGTTTGTGTTTGCTGCACAGAACTGTACATCATGGACACACCTGGTGTTGAACATCAGGGCTAGCATCAAGAATTCCAGGGCTTCTATCATGCATGGCCCCAGCGCTTGACCCAGCACTTGACCAATTCGACACTTTACACATCAATCTACACTATGACTCCAGCCACAACAGAAGTGACTGAATATCACAGTAACATGACTGCGACTTCTGCTGCGTGTGCAAATGCAACCCCTCATGCTGTCTGGCATATCCCTATGCCATCCAGCATGCTCCCAAATTATCAAGCACACAGTTGTGCTCCACGACACTGGCTGTGTTTGATAATGCCAGTGTTGCTGTGGAAGCCCCTTCTGCAATATTCAACAACTGCTGCATTATCCTCCGTGATCACTGGTACTTCTTTTGCAAGCAGTTGTCCAACGTGGTCTTCTCCTGGCCTTAAACATAGACTTCCTGGTTATGTCCGCAGGCATCGAGAAAGGCTCTGGCACCCCAAACACAGAGCAAGTTGGGCAGGTTACCAAGGCTCAAATTAAGGCAAGTGGTGCCTTGCTGCCATGAAAATTCATCTGTCCATGTGTTGACAAGAAGCTTAATCAGGACTCATCGTTGGTGTACTGTGCATGAACCTGAAACTGTGCTTGATCCCAATCTGAGGACCAGTTTTGTGTTTCTTTTTACAGGAAATAGCAGAGACCAAAATGCCTGATTTAAACTGCAGAAGCATAGAGTCAGCGATGCTGGTTGTCGAAGGCACGGCCAAGAACATGGGGGTAAAGGTAGTGGAGTGACAGAGAGAGATGCACTGAGGCACATTTAACTGCAGCAGAGCACTGCTACGGCAGTGTCCAGGCTTTTTGGTGGCTTCTGCATCAGACTAGGTTGGTTGATTTTGACCTTATTTAATCCATTTTGTTAAGTGATCAGGAAGCCCATGCACCCACATGGAGTTGGCCATTGTGGACACATGGATGGCTCTCACAGCCTCGCAAAGTGGCAAAAAGTGATCTCATCATCTTTGGCATATGGGATTGTCTGCCCAGTTGTCAGGTGTGCAGGTATATGCTCAAGCTGGTGTGCGGAGCCATCGGCCACCAGTGCAGGCAGCCCGCCCTCTGAGGCCACCACCACCCACTGTGCTGTCACTTGGGAGTTCGTGTGCCGACGTTGTGGCTGGGAAAGGATGCTATGTTGGTGCAACAGAGCCAATTTAGCCGCCTACCCCGCTGACGTTTGGGACGGGGTGAACGTATTTGCAGCTGGAGAGACCCCGACTGCCCTGCGCGAATTATCGTTGAAAATCGGGACGATCAAACTTTGGACGCCTTGACTAATTCGTGTGGTGAAAACCATGTGAAATCGTCCTTTTGGCGACCAATGTGGCTGAGCCCCTTGAAATGATTGACTCAATTGCGAAGCTCACACAAGTCGCTGCAGGGGTTCAGATGTCACGGCCAGGTCTGCATATATAGGTCCTGTGGGCCTGTGGAGCTGATGCGGAGCTTCTGGCGCCTGATTCTTCCCTAGGCTTCTTGTTGCAGTAGTCGTGGTGTCGCTTCTCTGCATCTTCCGCCAGCTACTGACGATGGGGCGGGTACCTGGACAACTTCAAGCTAACTGAGTGACAGATTATTGGGGCTGCAGAAATTAAGTCACTGCAAGGCTACCATGCCACTGAAGGCATAAAATTGTGCATAATTGTCGCATTGCCGTCCTGAGCCATTAGCTGAGGCTCCTGGCGGCGTCCACTTGTGGACCCATTTACGTAGTTTGGTAGGGCGCAGAGTGCCATTGAGTTTAGTCAACACATGTATCACGCCCCGCGCATGTGCACAGTGCACATGTTTATGAGAGCAATGCAAGTTCGAGTGCCTGACCCATCGAAGAGCATTGATGGCATGGCGTTCTGCTCAAGCATCGCTGGTGTTTCGTGGGCCAGATATTCGAGCTTGCATTGCTCGGATAAACATACACGCATGCGCCCATGCACGAGACATACTGCTTGCATTGACTGAAAGTCAATGCAACTGCCGCGTTTTGCACATGTGTGTTGCAAACCCCAGCAATACCCGTATTTACCCGGTATTAGTAGGCGTGTATTGGACCCCAAATCTGGGCGGTGGATACTAATAGTGGGTCATGGATACTAACGTGGCTTAGACCCCCCGATCCAAGGAGTAGACAAGAAAATTTTTGAAAAATAGGCGGTGAAATGCCCCAAAATAGGCTTTAAAAAATGCAAGATGCAACACAACAACAGTCACATCACCAAGTCAAAATCACAAAATCCCAACCAAAAACGCAGAAACGCATTCACAATCAATTGCTGTCAACATCCATATCTGATGCAAAGCCATCAAAATCCTCATCAACACCCTCCGAATCCTCTCCCAAATCATCAGGTCCTGCCACCAACTGATCCTCAACCTCGTGCAGTGCATTCCTGATATCATCCACAACATTCTGACTCTTGACACCCGTCCTTCGACATTCCTCTGGCAAGGCCTTTCTTGCCCGGTTCATCATGTTCGCCTCCCCTCCACTTGGTGGGAGGCGCCTGCTTGGCGGCGCCTGGTGTTGCGGCGGCTCAGTGCGCACAGAGCGCCACCGCCAGACTGGCGTTGCGTGGCAGAACAGATTTGATGCAAATGAAATGTACATTTGCAACAAATTTGACGGGAGATGCCAGCGCGTTCATGTGGACGGCAGCTCTGCCGTGGGGTTCGTTTCGCGCGCCTCCAGTCAACCTGAAGGAAAGCTTGGGCGAGCTTGGCGGCGAGTGTGGAGAGACCGGTTGTGAGAAGTGCCAGGGCTGGCGGCTGGGCGTGTGGCATGCAGCGTGTCACCAGGCGCACCTTGGGGCTGCCAACAACAACCATCGAGTACCCCCAACGGACAAGAAAAGTCGAAGGAGATCCCACAGCGCAGGGCAAGCACGTGTGTGTGTGGCTGATAAGCCACGGTGCGCATAGTCGAAGTGGTCGTATGCACTTTTCAATCGTTGTTGTGCAGCTGAGTGCCGCGGGATCCAGCGTGATGGCTGCGGAGGTGAGCACGATAGCGAGAATTGCGACAGGAATAAGCCCTGCCGGCAGGTTTGCAGCTGACTCCAGGCCCATAACTGTGCCATGGACGCTTGGCCTACAGTCGCTCGACAAGCAAAAAACTTCTTTCGCCAGCGGATCAGCTGCTTAAGCTGTGAAGCTTGCAGCCATCAAGTGCATCGCACTATAACGTGAGCTGTTTGCAGCAGCTATTGCACGTCAAAGGCATGCAATATGAGTGCTGCGCAAGCGAAGACGTGCAAAATAACTTCCTCTCCACATGGCGAGTCCAACGAGCCCTCTTGAGCTCGTTTCTGTTGAAGTTTGGGGGTGGATACTAACACCGGGTCATGGATACTAACGTGGTTTCGACCCACAAAGATGGGGGTGGATACTAAAAGGGGGTGCCTACTAATACCGGGTAAATACGGTATGTCCCGTTTGCTGTTACCGCAAAGGTCATACACCCCAACAACCACCCGAACTCCACCAGGCGGAACGCGGCCCCTTTCTGCACTCCCTCCCGCGGCCCTTGGGTACATGGCTGGGCAGGAGGGTGATGCAGTGATGAGTTTCAATTATAAAGTGCTCTGGTGTAAACGAAACTACTGTATATGGCGACACGAATGCTGTGCTTGCACGTGAAATGTAAGGGTGGCTGCCCTTTGAGATATGTGAACTGAAAAGGAAAGGCTTGGATTGGGATTGACGTGGACTGGTCGGGAGGTTAAACACTCAATGCGGGACGCAAACAGCTGCGCCTTCTGCGAGTGCATGATGCTGTTGTTGGTTTGCTTCCCTGCCACTATGATTCCAAGTCGCCTTGTCCCATTGCCACCCTTTGGTGTGGCACTCCGTGTCGGATGTTGAAGAGACCTCCTTTCTGAGTTGTGAGAATATGGTACTTTGTCGTGTGGAAAGTGGGGTGGGCGCATTGCTCATGGTACGTTGCTGTCCAACCGACGTTCATCCCTCCGGTACAACATGGGCTTGACGTTGCGCTTCAATCCTCATGGCGGGTGACCCCTTGCAAAGGCAAGTCGTGTTGCAATGTCTATAGCGTTCTGACAGTTGATGACCAAAGCAGCGTCACACGGCACTGTGTACGTGTTGTAAAATATCGATCTTCAGCTTAGCCTCGGTGGCTGTTGCTGGACGAGTCGCACCGTTGCACACTGAAAGTGCCTATGAAAAGCCGCACAGTAGCCCCTTGACCACGAATAAGCGTCTCGACCTCTGCCAGCCAAAGCTATGTTTTATCGACCTTTGCACATGCGTGAGAGACAAGAAATCGATATTGTGCATCTGTCTTAAATGCCAACGAAGCCAAAACGTCAAGGTGGGCTGGTGGCGACCAGATTGGTTCCTATCATCAAATGTCGGCATTGAACATGTCCCTATGAGGACAGCGCCCATGACTATGATGCCCCGCAGGCTTCTCGCAGTTGCTTGATCTGTGAACTCCTCCGCCGCATGGCTTCGAGTAGCTTTGCTGAACAGCCTGCCAGTGCCTCCCTGTCGCCCCGTCATTGCAGGATGGCGCACCACAATTCATGTCAGGCATGCATTTCTTGAACAATAAGTTACAAGGCCCTTCGCCTCAGGGTATATGCACTCCAACAACAAATGTGGCAACTGAACCAGAATGTGCAAGACGCTGGCAGACACAACGAGGGTCCAGAGCAATCCAAGCAAGCATTGCGTTGAGTCGCACTAATTGATTTCCACAGTCAATAGGGTGACCTTGATAGACCCACCTAATAGAGGCCAATCTAGGAGTCAGAGGACCAACAAAGAAACTAGAATGAAACCCTCAAGCCCTTTAGTACATTGGTCTTGTGCTGCTTCGAGCAACTCTGGCTCGCTGTGTTGAATTATTCACCTGCGTTGACTAGAATAGGGTTGCTGGTAGTTCAAGATACATTGTGCGACACTTGTGAGACTGCCACTGCCAGCACGGGCTTGCCAGCATTCGAGCTTTCAGGTTTGGCGCATCGTCACTGACAACGCATATCCTGAACTCCAATTCAGCAGCCAGTCTCCCAAACTGCTGTTGTTTCTTTGCTCCTGCTCTTGTGAATAGTTGTTCGTTTAGGTTTGCATACATGGCACAACGAAATCGCCGCCGGCAGCAGGGCCATGGGAACGGCCAAGGAGCTCCGATCCATTGACATTGAGTTGGACATTGGCACATTGAACGACAGGAGAGATGACGAGCAAGCTGAATTATCAAGGAAGCACACTGCCTGATCAGCATCGCCACTCACGTGAATGCCGTGTCGACATCGTTCATAGTACATGCCTGGTGGAACAAGACGGAAATGGGTGCCGCGGTACAGTTCTGCTCACAATACAGCACAGCGCACAGAATTGCATTCGCTGCAGCAGGTGGCATCGCGAAAGTCAATCCGCCCCGTGCCCTTTGGCGCTGGCGCTGGTGCCCACCTCTTCAGCATCCCATCCCCATCTTCGCCACTGGATGCCGACCCACCCCCATATTGGTCCAGCAGCTCCGCGTATCGGACATCCAGAACAGCAACTTCCTCCTCGAGACTGTCAATGACGTTCTGGACGGGTTGATGCTTTGGCTGACACCCTGCACAGCCGTGCTTGCCCAAGTCATGAATTATTGCGCAATTCGGGGACTGTTCCAAGCTACTGGCACAGGTGGGTCACCAGCACATCTTTCCACCCGCCATTCACAGAATTTCTCTGAACGCCTTTCAAAGGCGTCAACCATACAAAAGGCCAGAAATTAGGGCATTACATACACATCACAGCCGATTCTGTGCCTTGATATGTCATGTCGAGGCCCGCACCCACAGCAAGGATATTGATGGACATGCACAAATCTTCCAGCGTGCTTTCGTAATAGGTTCCATAGTCTATTGTGATTGCTGCGAACGAGCCTCATGTGTGTTGTGCGCATACGAAATGCATTCGCCTTTTTCCCAAATCAAAAATTCATCATCAGAGGGAGCATGCGAGACTGCAGGAGATATTGTAAGACTGCAATCGCGTGAGGCCCCTCCATCACCCCCACCCCCACCCCCACCCCCACCCCCAATTCCACTCCCACTTCGATGCGATTTTGCGATTTCGGACTTTGTGATTTTGATGATTTTTGTGATTTCGGATTTCGATTAGATTTTGATTTTTGATTTCGCGATTTTGGCGATTTTCGATTTATGATGATTTTGATTTTTATTTCCGCGCGATTTCGAGATTTGATTTTTAGATTGCGATGATTTTTATTTTAGGATTTGTTATTATGGAGCATTTTGAGCGGAGATGGAACGAGAGCGAGCGCGATAGCGATGTGCTGCTCTTCATGGCAGTTTTCTTTACCAAGGCCTTCTTTTTCACAGGCTGGGTGTCATTATCCTGTGAGGAAGTCGTGGTGGACGGAATACTGGAATGCCTCTCTCTGGCCAATCTTGCGCGCCGCTGTAAGCACATGACAGGCAAACGGAATGCTCATGCGTCAGTAGCTAGATGCAGACGCGGAGCAAATTCGGAGTGCAGAACAAACTGCCGAATTGCGTAGTTGAGCTCTGCTGCATTGATCACTGGTCAACAGCGAGCTAGTGGACTTAACCACGCCTTATTGACCTAAAGACAATGATGAATTCCCGACTTTGACTAGTCTTCATCATGACATAATGCACATCATATACTTCATTCACAGATGTATATTCTGCGGGTGTTGAGAAACCAGTCTCACCCACACAGTACCATCATGCCACACTGCTGAAGGAATGCAGCGCTTCCGGGCAGCTAAGGGCGTTGTAGAGTTTGCACATAGCAGCTGCTCCCAGATCGATCTTCACATGGATGCAGGCACTTTTAACAAGGTCAGAAATCGGTCGCAGTTTTTTGTCTGCATTGCTGCATACCAACAGTTCGAGCCTCTTGTCCTTCATCACCCAAGTTGTCGCAGTGGCAGCTGCATGAGCAAGTGGATCATCCCAGACATCGTCTCCCCGCCTTTGTGAACTGCGCACCCGTAACATTGTGCGGCTCCTTGGGCTCTGGCGGCCACAAACATCGCCCTGAGCATGATCAATCCAACAGTTCTGGCTGCCATACGGTTCTGTCAGTATATAACTTCCCAGATGTCGTGTGATTGCCAGTAAACACAATCGATTGCCACATCTTTCCATGTTTGCAGTCTTCTCTCACCGCAGGTTTCAACCCAACGTGGGCTGCTTCGATGAATGCCTGCCTGCTCCCACAAATCAACTGAAAGCTCTTAGGACTATCAACTCCCCAACGTCTATGCGACTTCTTTTGAATCCTTGCTTCTGCAACAAGATCAAACATAAAATGACCAGACACTGGCAAGGTGCACAAGCACTGCGCCCAGAAAAGACAATACGCCCAAATTGGGTCTCCACCAGAGATCCACAGCTGGAAGAGATGTGAAGCCAAAAATCAATGACCACCCTGAAAGAATGCTTCAGTGAGCATCGTCTCTTGTCACTGCAATGGGGCTAGTGCCCTCTCCATTCCATCACTGTGCCAGTGGCGCATAACCGCATCACAACACCGCTGTGAGCAAGCTGGCATACTGGATCATTTGCAGCTCCTCTGCCCACCTGGGAATTGAAACACAAGGGGCACACTCCATTGCCAGGAGCAAACTGTGCTGGGAAGCCGGCCCCCATCGGCCCAGCGCTTTGCACCGGCCGTTCACTTGGGGGCCAGTATCCCTGGACGTTGCAGCTGCCGTGGTGCCCACCGGTATTACAGAACTGGGTGTCCACAGGTTGTGCTTGTGTTGGTATCACTTGTTGGGCCCCCACTGGACTTGTGCACCGCTCGGGCAAAGGGGGCATCCCTGCCACATCATCACCTGCTTTGGGTGCAGGCTGCTCCGATCCATCGGCAGATGCTCCTGCACTGTCTGCTACGTCGTCACCTGCCTGGGCTCCTCTGTTGCCTTTGCGACCAGTGACAGGCCGACTGCCTTGGGCATTCGCAAATGCATTGACAACAGTCTTGTTCAATTCCATAACCTGTTGCAAGGGAATGACATTTTGTTTGGTGACATTGTGCACCATCATCGCTGAAGTTGGTGTATGATTCTGCCATGTCCTGTCCAGCAACTGGAATCCCACCAAATAACACTGACCTGTTGGAGGGTCGTCTCTGAATTCCTGAGAGCATGCTCCAGAGCCACTCTCAACTGACGCTCTTCCTGAACAGACCCTTGACTATTGGCAGCCATCTGGCGAAGCTCTCGAACTTCCTGACTCTGTGACTCTGTCGACCGTGCCAGCCGATCGATTTCGAACTGGTTGCACACAACAAGCAAATGATACCAGCAAACCAGCAAAGTATACCAGTAAAGCCAGCAGTCAAGCCAGTGTATACGAGCGAATCCCCACAATGACCTAAATGTCAGCAATGTCATGCAATGACAGAAAGAAACCGTGTTGCAACAATCTTTTTGCAAACATTTGACACAAGTGAAGCTTTACAGTACCATGCTCCAAGACACATGAATTTTGAACCTGCCAAACGAGGACAAGTTGCGAAAATCAGGATACTCTCCCTTGCCATTTGTCGGATCAAAGAATGAGTTCCTTCAGAGTTTTGAGCCACACATGTCTCAAGTTGCTCGCGATTCTGGGCCCCACAATGAATCACTTTTGTGGCTGCAGCCATGCTGTCAGGTAACAAACCCTTAACAAACCTTTGTGGGCAAGCGTAAATGGGTGCACACCTGGAGTTTTGGAAGTGCCTCCTCTGCTTTTGATGCAGACTCTTGTGCCTCGCGCCTAGCCTGCCTCTCTGTGAACAGCTCTTCTTCCAAGTCCTTGGCCCTGACTGAGCAGCCACATGCCTGGCTTATAGTGGCCTTAAAAAACAATCCACCACACTTTGCGTCCAGCAATTGATACAGTTCCACAACAAACACCTGGCAATTCCAGCAGCACAGTACGATTGCCTTCTGGAACATTACCACAATAAGGTGATCTGTCTGTTGCAACAAGGAAAGCTCTGTCCCACGATGCAGATGAGGGATTGGCATTTCACTATGCTACAGGTGCCGTAGCCTGTGGTGCGAAACCTGCATGTGATCCAATTCTTCCTTTACTGATGGCATATCCCTACAGTGCACATACACACTCTGTTTCTGGCCCTGCTTATGCCTTCATCAATCAGGGAGCACGTGGCACGATCCTTGAGACAGAAGTTCCACCTACCTCGAAATTCTGCCCCAATCTGGGCCCTTGCATCAGCGGCAGCAGCTCTAGCCATAGCTGCCTCATGCTTGAGCATCCATTCCTTCACGCTCTCCTCCTATCGAATACGGACATGGTCCCATGCCTTTGATTGGGGCTGTACAGATGCTCTTGTGCTTGCATGCATTGGGCTGGTTTCTGATGGTGCCTCAATTCTAGTAGTTGCCTTGGGGAATGTGCCCAAACCAACTGTTCAATAGATGGGCAACAATATACAGTTCTTCCACTTGCTCTAAAATCCTTTTATTAGCTGCTCTTGTGACAACAGTAACCCTACAACAGCAGCACGATCGCCAGAAAGTTTGGTTATATGCCTCATGTTGGCAAGTTTCACGTGGAAGATGTCAATGTAGGCCTTCTTGTTGAGCAGTTTGTGTCCCATGTCCTGGTATGTCGCACCAGTTTGCTGACTGCTTCATGTGCATCTCGCAGATCGCTCTCAACTTCTCTCTTTGCGTTTCTGCAAGCATTGAGTTGCTGTGACAGTTCGCTGCTGATGCGGCTTTCCTGCAAGCAGTGAAATGGGAAGATTAAAGACAACTCCTGACTGTCAGTGCCCCTACGCCAAAACAGAGCATTGCAATGCCCCCACACCTTTTTTAGCTCCTCCTGCAATTGTGCTTGATTCTGTCTTGCCAAACTGAGCTCATGGGACAACTGTAACCCATCAGCACGATTGTCTTCCATTGCCTTGGTGCATGACTCGAACTTCAGCTGCAAAGCTGTAGCTTCACTCTGCAGCATACAATGGAATTCAGTGCCCAGCATCATGAGAAGACCTGCTGGCAAATTGTCCAATTGTTGCAGGGAGTTATTTACCCCTTAATACTTGCTTAATGGAGAATGAAATAAACATTCCAATAGATGTGAACAAAATTCACATCGATATCTGATTACCACATCTCATATCATGACACAATGGCAAGAGATCCCCAATTTTATTTGGCCACTTGGATGCTCCTCAATGCTCTCAAGAACAATGTCACCTCCCAAACGGATTGTCAGATCGATCCACTGCATCACCTGATATTTGCTGGCAGCCACCTCAGCAAGCTGGCCTGCCTCTTTAAGTCGTGAATTTTCTTCCAGCGTCCCTTCCAAAGCAGTCTTCAAGTCACCAAGCATTTCTTTCATGCTTGAAATCTCTCTCCGCAGCTGCGATCAGCTTCACAATATGAGGATCAGCTGCAAAATGTTGGGTTGTTGTCTAGAATATTGCAGGGGTACAAGCTCACCAGCCAAGGACAAACAGTTAGCTAACAAGGGGTACATAGCCAGGGACGTGCTGTGTCCAGAAATCTACTGGGCATAGTTATGGCCTGTAAATGTGATGCTAAAGGGAGCAGGAGTTTTCTGAACTGTGCATGCTCCATTGCTTACCCCTTGCATAAGTTCTTCCTTGCCTCGAAGCTCCTCTTGCAACGTATCAGTAAATCTGAACACGTGTGTCAGGAAACACCTGTTAGGCAAGACAGCCGGGCAAGTCTTCTTGAAATCGCTGGCTCCAGCACAGCACACTTCCACAAGGCCTTCAAATCACAGCAAGCAACTACCTTCACTCATTCCAGTCAGCAAGTGTTGGTAATGCTGATTTAAAGTACCACTCACTTGGATGCTTCCCGTTCAACAACCTCCTTTTCGTCTTTGAGTTTGTTAATATCCGCAAAAGCTGCAGCCAGTTGGTTTTGCATGTCGCGGAGGGCTAGAACAGCCGCTGCAGAAAGCAAAATTGATGTGAAGATCAGGTCGGTTTATAAAATCAAGTCTGCCTATCTGATCTACCAACTTCGTCGATGATGGACGTTGATGTTATGCATTTTACAGAAGAAGGACAGGCCCGCCACTCTGCGAATCTTCTGAGCAGCATACTTAAATGGAGCCAAACAGCTCCCTATACATTTCACATTGCAGCCAGTACTGACACCAAGCGCCACCTGGGCATATGTCCTCATCCGGGCATTTTGCGTGAGCACGTCCAAGCCGAGTATCATCAGCGCGGGGCAGCGTTACAACAAACATGTTTGGCGTAGCGAGCAGAGACGTCCAAGCAACGACCCGTCGACATCGACGGCGCCACAGTGTCAAGGAATGCCAGCACGATTTCCTGTTCCCGACGTTTGCCTTCCAACCTTGCGAGGAGGTTGCGAGCACCATCGCGCTGTCGTTGCTCGACAGATCCAGAGGCAACTATCTTTCGGGGCCAGCTGTGCAGGCGTCGTCACAGGGAAGGCCCCCCTTCTCCAGAGACTGGACGGTCAAGAGCAGAGGCCAATATGCCCCGCCGCGTCTTGCTCCGCATACGCCGAGGTTGTCGACTGGACAGGCAAGCTCGAGCGGAGGCCGCCCGGGCACCGCGACCAGGGATCCCAGGGCGAGCTTCAGGTTGGGCGGCAATGCGCCAGACGGGGCATCTTGAATCATGTTGCGCTCAATGTTCTGCATCAAAGGCACACCATTCAAGTGATCTCGCCGTGTGGGGTGTGGGCCAGTGTGGCTCTGCCTAGGCTGTGGTGCTCCGCACCGAGTGGTGGGGCAATGGAGTCAGCGACCCCCGCGACGGGGCGACCCTTGTGGGCGAGGCCACTCCCGCGGTTGGCGTCTCGTGGGCATCCTGGCCGACGCGCGGCTGTTCAAGTGCAGCGCTGCGAGGGGGAGGGATCGAATGGGGCAAAGAAGGTGTTGATCATCGGCGGCACAGGCCGTGTTGGGTCGTCGACAGCCCGGGCTCTCACAAAAGCTGGGGTGGAGGTCGTTGTGGCGAGCCGTTCTTCTGATTCTTACAGCAAGATGATCGCAAGGAGTCCTGAGTTGAGTGGGGCCCAGTTTGTGCGGCTGGACATCCGCAACACAGCTGACATCAAGGTATCGCGGTCGGCCACTGCCAGTCCATTTGGCCGCCTGGCGGGGCTGTACCGATGCAGCTCGAGGGCAATCTAGAGTCTTGTCATTGGGTCGGTTCCCATGGGCATTTGGAATCCGGCATTCTGTACCTGGCACTGATGAACGTCCAGCACCACATTTCGTCGCGCAATTTGCTGTTTGCCTCTTAATTTCTCAACTTACTTGGTGCATGTCATTCATTTGATGCAGTTTGGGTTAATGTTGCACTGGCTGGCACACTTTCTATATCATGGTGTACAATCCATATCTTTTGGACAGTGCATGGGCAATGGCACAGTCTGGCAAGATTCTTGGCAAGGTGCACAAACAGCAACATTTGGTGTGATGACCAACGGATCATGTTTGTTTGTGGGCACAAATGTGTGAGGCATCTTTGCAGGCAATTTTTCAGCCATTCATTCCATTGCATTTCACCTGCTGTTTCCTGCAATGAGCCCTTGTCAGCCTGCTGGTTTGAGCCTTGTCTGTTGGCTATGCTGTTAAGTTGGAGCCTTGTCTGTTGGCAGTCTGCCCTCTGCGATGTGGACCTTGTGATTCATGCTGCTGGTCCCTTTCAGCAGCAAGAAGGCTGTAACGTTCTGGAGGCAGCAATTCAGGAGTGTACAGCATACATGGACGTGTGCGATGATACAAGCTACTCACAAAGGTGCAAGAAGAATGCAACTGCAAATGTTGTTATGCAGAGCTCAGGAAGGCTAGTGCTGTAGGATGCTTCAAATGTGTTCTGCTGTTTTGACTCGAGGTTGTCTGCGTTTTTCTGATGAATAGCATGTGGTTTGCATTCAGTAATACAGGTAAGCATGGTGGTGCTGGGGCACAGTTGATGGCAGCTCTATTTGACCTCCTAATTTGGGAGAGTGGCACTGATGAATCTGTTGTTCGAGTGCACCTCATTTGATGGTGACTTGCAAATCCATTGGGACAAATGCACATCTACCGAAGTTTGCAAATGTGCTCTGTGAGAAGCTTGACCTGGGAAAGAGCTGCTGATGCCTGGTGCACTTGTGTTGGTCTTCAAGATTTGCTGCCTGCTTGCTTGTGTGGTCACAAGTCTTCCCTCTCAATAGCAAGCTGCTTGAATTTCTGTGTTTGACTCAGACTGCAGGGCCAAAGCTCTTCATGCTGATGCAGCTGCAGCAGGCGTTCCTGCCATCATCACTTGTGGAATCTACCCTGGTGTGAGCAACGTAATCGCAGCACACATAGCAGCGCGATCGCTTGGAGAGGCAGATAAAGATGGGAACTACACAGAGCCTTCTTCAGGTTTGCTTGCCAATCCACTGCTTTCACCCAGTTCTTCACAATCGAAACATTGATAACCCAGCAATGGTACTGTTTGGGACCTCTAGTCGATTGTGCACTTTGTGACTTGTGGTGTGGCCCAGCCAGCAACACCGAACGAGCAGGTGCTTGTAGCACTGGATAGTGGCTTTGCATGGCCATGATGACTTTCTGGTAAAGTCAACCCAGCTGGCAGTCACCTCAAATTTGTGTTTTGCTTACGCAGATGCACCAGCGCTATCCCGGCTGCGCTACTCCTACTATACTGCAGGCAGTGGAGGGGTGGGCAACACTTTGCTTGTCACAAGTTTCATGTTGACTGGTGAGCCAGTCACTGCATACAAAGATGGCCAGAAAGTTGTTGTGGAACCCCTCAGCCAGCCCACAACAATTGATTTTGGGCCTGTAGTGGGGCGCAAAGGTGCCTATCTGTGGAATCTCCCTGAAGTCGCCTCCGCCCACAACTGCATGGGTGTGCCCAATGTTAGTGCCCGCTTTGGCACATCACCACAGGTTTGGAATTGGGTCATGTGGCTTATGGCTCGCCTGGTGCCAAAGGACGTGCTGCAGGACAGGGAAGCCATGTCGGTCTTGGCAAACATCTCAGAGCCAATGATTCGGCTGGTGGATCTCTTCGTTGGGGAGACTGTGGCTATGAGGGTAGATGCTGAGCTGGAGGGTGGCAAGGCAGCATCAGGTCTCTTCGTTCATCCAAAACTGTCAGAGAGCGTGGGGGCATGTGTGGGTGCTTTTGCACAGTGCATGCTGAGAGGGGACACTAAGCCCGGGGTGTGGTTTCCTGAGGAGAAGGGAGCACTGCGAAATCGAAGGGACCTTCTAGCACTAGCCTCCGAAGGGTGCCAAGTTTTGGTAGTCAACCAACCGCCGTGGGTTATTGAACAGGAGCCCAAGCAACTTGGTTTAGGAATTTATATGTAGACATAGTGTTGTCAGCTAGCTATAGGCCACATGCCCGCCACCAACCCACTGGGTTTCGCTTTGTTATTATGTCTTCACTGTTGGTCTTGAGAGTACCTGTGCCTTGATGTGTCACATATCCATCCCAAAATTGGCATTTGCTGAAGCACTGATGGGCATATGGCAGAGTTTGTGTGATTGATTGTGTCGTTCATCGTCTGCGTGCCTGCAGGTGCTTCCCACCGATCCAGACAAAAATCCAGGCAAAGATTGTGGTGCAAGATTTGTCGTGATAGATGTCCACAGGGGGGCTGGGTCTAACGAACCTCACTGAAGGGTGATTGTCCCGTTACTGGTAAATTTTAAGGGATAGTGATCGTAAGTGAACACCCCCGGGCGGCTCACACCACGCCCAATCAAAAGTGCTGTTGTTGTTGGCGCCAGCCCATGGTATCTTGTCAGATCTTCGGGCACCTTGCTGATTGGACAACTGCTATGGTTTCACACTGACACACGGCTGAGATGAGTGACGGAATGCCAAGCGCATCGTGTGGCCACACAGCATCCACTGCGATGGAATCACGACAACCAAAATAGGGTGCATTACGTACTGTCCATGCGATGACGAATCCCAGATGCAAGGCCAAAACCGAGATGCACAAACATAACAGAGTGTGTGATGTTTCCAGCCCAGCACCAGCACACGATCCGATTTGGGTTGCTTCCACAGACCCACCCCCCGCAAAACCCCACAATCCGTTTGACCACCCTCCCTCGCGCTCAGCGGCTCGACGACTCGGTCCCCCTCCCCTAGCTAGCGCCTCCGGGTGCCCTGCGCGTCCGCTTGGCCGCCGCCCCCGCAGCGCCGCGCTCGTCGGCCTCGCGCCATGACCGTGCAGGACGCATGCTGCAAAGGCAAGGCCAACGTGCTCCGGGGGTCGCTGCGGACCCTGAGGGCCGATGGCTTCGGCGCGGGCCTGGGATCCAGGGTGCTCGGGTGGGGCGGCATGATGGCGGCGGTTGGATCGTTCGTTCGGCCTCAGGTAGCCATTGCCGCCCTTGGGCGGGATCAATGGTTTGCTTACGGCGGGCTTGTGGGCGCCCGGGGCCTGCGCCCTTGGGCGACGTCAGCAGCGAGGCAGCAGTCATTTGATGTGGGAAGGGAAAGGGGACGTCCAGCGCGCCGCATGGGACAGGAAATCGCGCCGGTAGAAACCGTGTCCACGCGTCCGTGACGTAAGGCCTCCAGCCCCGCATTTTGAGCCGGGCAGTGGCGTCAACACGGCAGGGAGCAACTCCCACCGGCGGCGGCGCCGTCTTCACTCCAAACGAGCGTTAAATCATTAGCTGCTCCGGTGCCACGGTTGAACTATTCCTGCAAGAGGGTGCCAGTCGATGTCCGTTGTCCGCCGCAATCGACTGTCCTGGAGTGGGCCGTGCGTTGGAGCTGGGTTGACTGTGGGTTGTGGCTGGGTATGCAGTGGGCGGAATTTGGTTCCTAGTGGTCGCGCCTGTCGCACTAACTGCGATCTGTTGCAAGTTCTGACAGCTGTTTCCCGCATGTGTTCAGGGGCCTGGCGAGTGCTGCGATCACAACTGTGTGGAGCGAGTGTTTAATGTTGTCACATCCATACCGTTCATGGTGGTTGGGCTGGCGACAATGAGGTGGGCTGCTGCCCCGAATTGTCTCTTTAGCGACATATTGTTTGGAATCCCAGAGGAGGGTTTGCATGACGCATTTCCAATGGATATACCGTATTTACCCGGTATTAATAGGCGTGTATTGGAACTCCAAAATGAGCGGTGGATACTAATAGTGGGTCATGTATACTAACGCGGTTTGGACCCCTGATCCCAAAGAGCAGAGAGAGAAAATTTTTGATAAATAGGCTGTGAAATGCGCAGAAATGGACAAGAATGGCAATGCTAGTGCGGAATGTTGTCAGCCTCTTCACAGGAGCTGGCGACCTTGACTTGGGGCTGCATCAGGTGGTGGCGACTGGCGATTAGGGCCACTAGGGGGTTTGCTGGAATGCTTGAGGCGCGTTTTCCTCTGCAATGCAAAGAACGAGGATTGATATGGTCTCAACTCGCTGGGGTGCAACGTCGCAACGATAATCTTGAAACGTGGCGCTTTGCGGGGCTGATGGCGGCTGGGAAGGCCGATGTGCGAGTTGGGGACGGGCCCGGCCTTGGCAGCGCTATGTAGGCAGTTTTGAAAGGCGGGGTCTCACAACGGCAGCTGCCCCGTCGACGTGGGAATCGCAGGGAACATGGTTTGGTCTAGACTAGGCAACGCGGTCCAACACCAAACGCTGACTTCCCTTGCCACCATCCGTGCCTTTGCTCGTTTTTATCTGTGTTTTGGGGTGGATACTAACACCAGGTCATGGATGCTAACGTGGTTTCGACCCCCAAAGAGGGGGGGGGGGGATACTAATAGGGGGTGCCTACTAATACCGGGTAAATACGGTAATTCCATGTGCATTTCACTAACACAGGCCAACGGGCGCCACACAGTTGTCTGTTAGGCACTCTGGCGTTGTTCCTTTCTTTCGGGCCCAACTGCCAGTGAGCATTGGCGGTGATGACTTTACCCTTGCAAATCAGGATTGCTGCGCTCCTGTGGTGCTGACAGCACCAGTTTTGTTCAGGCGTCGCAGGACTCGCGAAGGGAAGGTGTATGGCGCCAGCATAGTGGGTGTGGGAATGGCTTCCCTGACTTTCCATTCTGCAAGGGGAAGATTTCGCAGCTTCTCACGGAAGTTGGACTACTGGACCGTCGCTGTGTCCTCTGCGCTCATGTCCCGAGCACTCTTTCCAAAGTTGTCTCCTTTGGTGTGGGGCCTGAGCCTTGGGCTCACACCCTTCCAGCCGTTTGCTACTGCATCTGCCAATGCAGTGGCCATGGAGGTGAGCTGAAGGTCCTGGGATCACTGAGAGCACACAAGTCAAACAATTCGTAAAAAAATATAATCCCATGATCAGGGCTCTTGGTTAGGAGCTCTTAGGGGCTCTTTGTCTTTTTTAAATGTCTTGTTTAGGAATGATGCCTCAAGCCACGATGTTCTCAGTCAATCCTGTCCATTGAAGCAGATTGAGTGGAAGTTGATAGGTTCACACTTGTTCTCTTGGTGGACATCTTTACCTACTGACTCTTTGCAACTTGCACGGCTTGCCACAGTACGAGTTCTTGAGGAGGGCGAACAAGAACCCCAGTCTGAAGCCTGTCCAGCAGCTGCATGCAGCCACGTCAGCAGGGGGCATGGGCCTGTTCTGCCGTCCAGATGTGCCATGCACACACGGCCTGTGGCACTGCGCCGCTGCACTGTCATGCGCAACAACAAATGGTCTGGTTGCAGATGTGGAAGCAAGAGAGCTTGGCTTCGCCCCAAGGCTCTGAGAGGCATATGAATTTTGTGCCATTGCAGGGCGTTTTTTGAATGGAGAACATCAATTCTTTGGATTTGTGCATGTATGGAGTTCGTTGCAGCTCCTTGTGTGACTTGTTGGATGGTCTCTTTAGAATTATGTGAGTACTAGTGGACATCCTGGAGAGCTGCTCAAACATCCTAGAAAGTTGAGAGGAGGCAATACCCAACTGGTGCATAGGGAGGAAGTATAGGCCTAAAACAGATGGTGCCCTCAGTGAAAGCATGAGAAGACAAATCTTTTTGTTGCTTGCATATGTTGTTTGAATTTGTGTATCTTACTGTGTATTGGCATGGAAACATGTCATGTCAAAGTGAACTGTGCTGTCGTTGAACTCTGAAGCCGCGTTGAATTGCAGTGAAATGGGTTGTTTGCACTGATTTCTGCCTTTTGAAGCAGAGCGTGATTTCATGACATTTTGTCAGAGAGTTGCGAGTTGGCAGTTGGCTGGTGTTGATGAAATGTGGCCATGGTCAAGGCCTTGTTTGACCTGCTCTGCTGTCCCTTTGTGTGAAACAGGTTCCCATGTTTGGGGACCCTTTTGTGGTGTTCTCGATGCAAGATTGTTGTGTGCAGTGGTGTGCTGATGTTCACAATGACTTTTAAAGCCGCTGTGCATTGCTGCTTTGCACTATGCACTGTGGCTGCCACAGCAGCAGCTATTGGCTGTTGCCCACAGCCGCTGCTATTGCGGCCACACATTGTGTGGGTGTCTGAGCAGTTCATGTGATGCGCTGCAACGTACTTGTCAGGTCAGGACGCTGTATCCTGATAGCATGCATTAAGCCCCAACGTGGTCCTGCATGGCCGTGAGAATGTTATTGTGTTCCAAATAGCCCTCAGCGAAGATTCAAACAATGTGCGTGCGCATAAGTGCAAGAGTGTGAACTCTTGTGTGTTTGTTATCCATAAACCCACAAGCATCGTGCTCGTCCGCCAGAAGGGCAGCGAAAACTGTCATGGTGGTGGCCTGCAGAGTGTGTGGCCTTTGAGTTCCAACGTGCTCCCATTGTGGCTGTTGGCGCCGACAGTAAGTTTTGCTGGTTGGGCAAGCCGACCTAACTGGCTCTGACAACAATGAAATATCTCTGTTGGAATCAAGCAAAGGAAACAATCTAAAGTCTCTTTGCAGCAACTGAGCACACATTGGTCAATCGCTGAGGCACTGCGTGGACATTGGTTGAAGGCAGCCCCCTTGCGCTGAAGCCGTCCTCCTCATTGCACTGAACGCTCTGCGCCTGGTCCTGTCCCATGTGCGCGCCAACCTCGCGTACGGGCAACTGGAAGGTCTGCTGGTAACACAGCCTGGTCGCCCATCGATGTCCAGATCACTCGTAGGGAGCACGACTGCTGTGGAGTTTTGCAGCAACTTGTCTTCTGTGCTCTGCTCTGAATGCTTTGAAGGCGGTTCCGGCGTTTTCGAGTTGGTGCACACGTCGCAGCCAACGTGGGGCTGCACTCCTGTCCTTGTTTCGACACCGTCCGGTTGGCCCTTGGGCAGAGCAGCTATCCCTTTTTGTAACTCCCGTGCAGGATGCACAACAGTAACCGCAACAGTTTCCCCGTTGCTGTTTCCATTCTTGGCCCCTATTGCCTCTGGGCGTCTCATCGCCACATCCGTTGCAGGTGATGCTGGAGGAGGGGTGTTGGTTGTGGGTTCACTGACCTGAAGGCACTCTGACGGCGCTGAATCTGCGATAGTGGTACTGGTGCCGTCCTCCTTCTGCCGCGCGTCCAATTCGCGGGCCAAGTACGGTGGCCTGCTCTTCTCTTCAGCGCTTTGGACTCCCCACCGTTGTTCTGGTCGACAATGCCAACAACCCTGTCATGATAGGTAGTGGCACACGTTTGCAGGGTGGCCACAGAACACCTGCCGCTGTAAGACCTTACACCTTTGTGCAGGCTTGCGAGGAACACACCGCTGTGTTTTGGGCACACTTCAGTCCTGCCTAGCCCCTGGTCTGTCCTATTATTGCGCACTGATTCGACAGTGTGGCAGAATTGCTCCTCATGTGCGCATTGCAGCAATTGAGTCCCTTGGCGTTTCTCAAGCCCCGTTTACAATACTGCCAGCACAGCGCTCTGTTACTGCCATATTTGCATGTGTCCGTTGTCTATTTTCGTGAAAAACATGCTTCACTTCTTTTTAGATAGCACTGCGCCGCTGTGTCTGACGACCATGAGGACCACGTTTCCAGTTCCTGCAGTGCGCCGTCTGTTCTCCATGGGTGGTTTTCTCAAAGCGGCCCTCTCCTCGTGCGGAGGGTCGGCAGCCATGCCGGCCGAAGTAGGAGCCCAAGCGGGGCGGAATATCAGGGCGCCCACTGGGATGCGCTCCCAGTGTGGTTGCAACCACATTGGGGGCTTCGCAGCCCCACTAACTAGCAGGGCTACTAAGCCCCAAATCAAAAGCTACCAAGAACATTGTGAGCCGGGCTCCTAGACGAAGGCATAGGGAAAGGGATGACCGGAGGCTGAACCCCCATATAGAGCTACAGGAAACGAAAAGAGGAGTTCGGTGACCGGATAGCAAACCAGCCAAGGGGCCAGAAAGTTGATACTGACGAGTGAAGTGCAAAGGACGTGGGATACTGTGCGGGGCATAATCCCTGGTGGTTGGCATCCGCTCCCCAGCAAAATGGGATAATCATATGATTCTCTCCATCCACGCTACATGGGTGGCCTCCGTACTGTGAACAGTGAAAAGTTGAGGCTATGCTGCAACACATGAGTATCCACATGGTTGAGATGCTCACCGTCTGGGCCTCCCTTTTGTGCATTCCTGTGGATCGCGACAGGCAACACTCCCACCTGCGGGGCACCACATGTGTCGATCTGCTCCGAGTTGCGCCGTGCGCCATGGCTTGAGCCATTATCGGCAGCATCGAAGATGGTTTCTTTCCCACGACAGCTCTCAGGTCGCAGATTCTGGTGCATTCCAGTGACACCCTTCACAGACTGCACAACTTGTGACACATCAACGTATTTGAGCATTTCAGGTGCCTTAGAATGCATGCACGGGGCGGGTGGCATGGATTCATGGCCTTTTGCCGAAGATGAAGGCGAACATAAAGGTCTCCCGGGCGTTGTTTTGGCTGTTGCGCAGTGCCACCATTATACCACCAGCCCCGGTCGCGGGAGACCCGTGATGCTGAAGATTGCTTCAGTTCCGCAAGATCGACGCGAGAAATGAAGAGGAATCCTTGTTGTACAGAGATTGCCTTGCGCGTTCGACATGCAGGTGGCATCAGTGATGCATAGGAAGAAACCCGCAACGTGGCATCTCAATGGGCAAAGCAGAGGCTGAAAGACGTGCTCGTGTCGTGCTATCGACTGGATCCGTGACTTCTGTCACCACCTGCCATTGCCGGGGAGACTCAGAGGCGCAAGGCCAGGTTTCCGATCTAGCCAGTCCAAGCAAGGATAATGGCGTCGCAACCTCATGATTACTCGACCCCTAAACATGTCCAACTGAACCTTCAAAATCCAGCTAGTTTCATCTTTCAACACTCTACGCTCCTTCTAAACATAACGAGCACGTATTTGAAATGCCCGGAGTAGGGTGCCTACATTGTCGCTGTCACGTGGCCTTTCCTTTCGTGCACACGGGTGTCCGTTCTCTGCCTTGTACCTCCAGACTATGCCACTCCCTCTCGGTCTGTGGAACACAACATGTGAACAGAATCACAACAATGTCACATCATTCTTCAGCACGAAAGACGTGCGAAGCCTCCATGATGCGGATTGGGCAAAGGATGTGCCTGAACTCGACAGCGTTTTCCGCAAATCACCTTGCCGCAACGATTCCTCCATTAGCGGAAGGCGCCCACGGAGAGCAAGGCGCAAGTCTTAAGGACGAGCAGTACAGGAACCAGAGCTTGCCTTCAGACACCTGCACTCGTCATCACATGCGCCTCAGAGGACTGGGTGATGAACCTGACAACCGACATGAGAAAATGTTACCACCACAGCAAGCTGCAACTTCATCCCCAAATTAGGGGTTCTGGCTAACCTTGAAGTGGAGGCACATTCTCACAACGAGGCGCCCCCCTGAAACAGCTAGGATGTGATCAGCGATGTTGTTACACATGGTTAGGACCCGCCGCGATAGGACAGCACCTGCGGCAGAACATCCACGGGCGTCGGAACAGAGCGACAGGACCATATTCACATAACGGAAGAGTCCACACCCATTCAATTCCTAAGTGAGCCTGAACGCCCTCGCAGCTACACGCTGGTTCATGGGTTGCGTTTTGCACCCTAAGTCGATCTACCTTTCAAAGGCTTCGACTCGAAATTACAATTCTCCGACCCCTCCTCGAAGGTGAGCACCCTTTTGTGGATGGACAAGGACGGGTCTGATACATTGTGCTTGTTGACTCGCCGCTCCATCAAGCACACCTGTGCCATTGATAAGCGATTTACTTCGTTTCTAGAAAGGAGACTCGGCACAAAAAGCACGTGGCAAGATAATTAGGGGCGCGTTATTGAGGTTGCAACGAGCGCCCGCCATTGCCGCGAGTTTTCAAGGTCAGATCTTTTTCAATTATGACCAAAAAAAATTTGACACAGACTGCCCAGATTGAACGCTTTAAAAGCGACAACTTGAGCGGCTGCCACCGGCAGCGAAATATGCGTCTATTAGCGTCAGGCACTCGCAGATTGACTTCGTCCAGCGAACTTGCCAGATCTGCTTCCAGTCTACTGGCAGCCCACAACTGGGAGCGCAGCGTGAATTGCCATCGGCCTTGGGCATTTTTAATGTTGGTTTCATTTGCGCCGTACGCTAGTATTCCGCATGTGCACGGAGGCAATACACGGGCGCTGGCATCCGAAACTTGCAACAATGACTGCTATACTGCCAATTAGTCAATTAGAACCTGTTTAGATGGCGACTGCGACGAGACAAGCTCCCCGGGCTTACTTTGGGCGACCACGTGGCACGTATCACACAGTTGTTCCTCCCCATGGGGTAAACGAATTTTTGAAGGACCCCTCTCAAAAGTGTCATCTGTTGGAGTTGCATCCGGCACACCTCATTTCCAGTCATGTAACGGAAATGCACAAGCCCGTTTCCCTTTCCAATTAAAGTCGAACGTGCCTGTTTATGGGCAATAATGGTATCTCTTAGTCTCCAATGGTGCGAATCCCAATCGCCGCATGTTGTCATGCTGTGCGTTTGCCAGCGGAATACAATTATTGCGTTCAGCGCAAAATGATCGCCAACGGTCGTCCAACAGTCGCTTTGATGCGTAGCAGGGAGAGGGTGAGCCATTGGATCAGTTTGATCCATATCTTACTGAAGCACAGGGAGCTAAAGGACGTCGCCATTTCCAAGTAGCACGAGCGCAACAGCAATACTGCAAGAGCATTGAAACGAAGGCATCTCATCCACCATGGCATGTTTCACTGTGCGGAATGCTGATCATTGCGATGGAAATGAAAAATACCTTCCCGTCGCATTGGCAAGAAGGGTTTGTGTACTCTCCAGTATCTGTCACACAGCACGCCGCCACGTCGTCTCCGGCTACCTGCACCATTGCAATTTCTGCGTGTATTCACGCCAATCCGAATATGAAAGAAACTCCAGCTTTGGAATTGCGCAATGGACTCCATGAGCTAAGGGTAGCTCCGCGGTGTAAACAAGGAACCTCTGACAGAAACTGTGTCGCACATCGGGGGTCTACCCTATGAAATGCGTGATGTGCGCACCATGCGCTTTTACTTGCATTTATCTCAGGATGCGTGGCCCTGACCATTTACATGAGGAGGGATTTTGCGCCACATACCATGCCCTTGACGATCTCCTTTCTGAACTTGTCTTCAGTGACATTTTTGGAGTGCCTGCGTCGCAGCTTTCCGCTCAAGAAGGTGTGTCAATGCCATGTACCACGACCAACGATCGCACCTTCAGAGAACCATTTTATGTCCTGGTTCATTAACTGTTGTAAAGTTACTTTCGGTCTGCAGCACGTGCGTGTCAGCTACAATTGAATAAAGCAGTGCCATTGATAAGCTGGATTCATTCTGTTCGAAGGGAAAACGCATATGTTAACTTGAAGGAAACTGCTGAAGCAACCCATCGGCAGGCATCCGTCATGGATCCGTGCATGGCGCCAATGCGCAGGAAAATCGATCATGGCTCACTCACTTCTTGTTCCTGCATTGACGTGAAAAACCATGTCGTTGGTCTGCTGTCGTTGAATACCATCTGGCCAAGCAGTGACGCACGCACAGTCATTCCGCAAAACTGGGAGCTGCAGGTAGCTCAATGAAGTTGAAGCAAGAACCAAGAATCTTTTGTTCGTCGAGGGCTGATCGAATCCACAACACTCCGGAAACAATGGCATTCCTCGCCCAGCAGATACCAATAAGATCTCCAGGGAACCGGACATGGAGTTCTTGCCTGTGCCAGGGAATGTGGGTGCTCTGTTCTGGTCGAGAAGGCGAGCGTGATGAGCAAGGCACAACTGACAATTCCTAATGAACCAGGCGCAACCACCCACGCATGCTTGGTGGGCAGAATCATTGATTCTGGAAGGGCACTCACCGTGTGTGGCAAATTCAGCCCCTGGCAAGACTGGTCCTTGCAATTCTTCTTCCAAAGAAGGCTATAGAAGTCGTGCACGAATCCTTCTCGAACGAGTAATGATGAGCGTCCCTGTGGAAAATTCACCCATTCTGGACGCCAAAGGACGGAAAGCAAAACGGACACGCAGGATGGAGAAGCAAATCACTGAACAGATGCGTAACTGATTGGGCCACTTAACCAATGGAATAGGGGTCGAATCGACTCAAAACTATTGGAAGCCATGCACTGTGACATGGCCAAGAGTCTCAGGATGATGGCCATTGGCGTAGCGACAGTAATTCCCCGAGGTGGATCCCAGGTGAATGGTCATTACGATGGAATGCAAGACGCTACAGTAGCAGACTTGTTTGGAATTCCGCGTTGGAAACGTTTCCGGAGTCAGACATTGCTCCCAATTCACCCGGCCAAAGGCGACACACGACCAGACAAACCTCGGGGGCTAACTCCTTGCCATGCCAAAATTCATGAACGACGTTTTTGCGTTTGCCTCATACTATTTGTTATGCAAATAAAAATGACAGCAATAATGTATGCACGCAAATGGGCAGCCAACCGCTGGCCCATTGCCTTGACATGTGATACTTATTGACTGATTGGAAAATACATTTGAGCAAGCATGGGTATTGTTGTGCGCATAGGGCTGGAACCCTGAATTGAGAAGCCTGCCTTGGAAGGGAGCTACCTACCGCTGGGTCAGTTGTGCACGCGGATTCTCGATTGACAGGGGCCATATTGCGGCAATATTATTGCCTTCCCAGAAATGCCCTCCTCGGTGAGAACAATGAGCCTCCAACGATGGCCAACTCAGTACAAGACCACAACGCCACCTGCGCTTTATCGCCCTGGCTGTTGTCAGCGTGCGGGCCCATGGAAAGCGGAGTGGGTGTGGTCCTGGAGCTGCATTGGGTATCGATTTGACATCGGCTGGAAGTTTTCCAACAAGTGGGCGTAGTCAGCAGCTGCGAGGGGTGACCCCTGGCACAGTGCAGGCGACGGTACTCATCCTGAGGCAGAAGTCCTGCTTCAGGGCATTTAGCTGGGCACTAAGTTGGTGCGCAAAAGCAGTAGGCAGCAGCTCAGAGACAATTGTATTGCAATTGGCCGGTTGGCACGCAGAACAAATGAATTGACTGGCAGAGCTCGCAGCAAATTTCGAACTAAACCACCCCAAACCGGAGATTCCATGCCACGCGGTGTGGACTGTGTAATTGGTTCGGGGGATCTCCCTCAACATTTCGAGCACAGTTTGGGGAAAGAGGCAGCGCGCACCTGCGTTTCGTCTGCGTGTGACCAGGTGTCGCTGAGACGTCAGATGTGACCTCATGTGCGTCCCAATTCTGCGACGCGGTCGAGGTGCAACTGCCCTTGTACGTTGAGTCTATTGTTTGAATGAAGGGAAACCCGGAAGCAAGTCACTGGCCACGCCATTTTAGGCCACCAACGTTCGTCAGTTCGTGAGTCGCCATTGCAAGGGCGACTTGGCAATGACGACTGACAGATTTGGAGATGGCAGGTTGGTGCGGATTGGGAAGCCACACTCGTCAGAGGATTCCACACTATTTGAGGCCGTGTGGCTGGTAGCACGGCCCATTTTTGACATTGCTGTGACAGCGTGGTGTATTTTCTATAAAACCTGCCCTGACAGTGGTGCCATGGCGATATACATTGCACATCAGCAGAGTGCAGCAAGGATGGCATTTCCGCCTGAAATGATACCACTAATCCCTCAGACATGCACAGCGTGTGTAGAGGGAAATCTGCCCATCAATTCTACTGATCAGACCTGGTTCGTTTGCCAGGAAAACATTTGTTCAAAGCAGTAGGCTGCCCTCATCTAAAATCGTTGTTTCAAAGGGCTTGGAAGCATTGGCTCCCAGCAACTGAGCAAACAATTCAAACACAAACGCCAGCTTCAGTTCCCAGAGCCCCTGCAGATCTGCTTGTATGCAGGCTTCCACCTGGTATTTCTGTTCACACATTCATGGTGAGAAGTAGTCAGGCGCATTGCCTTGTGCATCAAGGTATTCCAGCAAATAATCCCCACCAGTGGAGCACAACGATGTATGATGAATAATACAGCAGGTGGATATGTTACTCAGATGACCACAGTTCGGCAGTTTCTCCACACCAACACTAAAAAATTTGAGCCCTACACCACCACAGATGTGGACCTGCCGGCTGGCCACATGCTGGGGAGATCGGCTCTAGTTCACCAATCTGACTTGACTGCAGAAAAATTCTAACACATCCACTTGTGACACCTCTCGACAATCACACCCCCCTCGTAGACAGCAGGGTTTCAACCACTGATGGGTCCGCCAGTGTTGACACGTCTCCCAGCTGGCTCTCCTCAAGGGAAGCAATCTTCCTCAGTATCCGCCTCATGATTTTGCCTGACCTGGTTTTCGGCAAACCGGGTGCCCAGTGTATGTTGTCAGGTGTGGCAATGGGCCCTATTGTGGACCTGACGGTGGCGATGAGCTCTTTCTTCAGGGCCTCCTCCGGAGGGTAGGCGTGCTCCTGCATGAGCGTAACGAATGCATAAATTCCCTGGCCCTTGATGTCGTGGGGGACTGGCACAACTGCGGCCTCTGCCACAGCCGGGTGCGTGATGAGGGCGCTTTCCACCTCAGCGGTCCCTATCCTGTGGCCTGAATTGTTGATCACGTCATCCACGCGCCCAGTGATCCACATGTACCCATCCTCGTCCCTGCGGCAGCCGTCCCCAGAAAAGTAGTACCCCTTGAAGAGAGAAAAGTACGTTTCCTCGAACCTCTGCTGGTTGCCCGAGACCGTTCTCATGATGCTGGGCCAGGGCGCCTTCATTGCCAGCACCCCCGTGGCGGGCCCCTCGAGCTCGTTGCCGTTGTCGTCCAGGACGACGGGCTGCACTCCGAAGAAGGGGAATGTCGCCGATCCAGGCTTCAGGGCGGTGGCCCCTGGCAGGGGCGCCAGCACATGTGCTCCAGTCTCGGTCTGCCAGTAGGTGTCCACTATGGGGCAGCGGGAGTCGCCGATGACCTCGTGGTACCACCGCCAGGCCTCCGGGTTTATTGGCTCCCCCACCGTGCCCAACAGCCTCAGCGACTGCCTGCTGTATTTCTTCACCTGCTCGTCCCCCTTGGCCATCAAGGCGCGGATGGCTGTGGGCGCTGTGTAGAACAGGCTGACGTTGTACTTGTCGACGATCTCCCACATGCGGCCGGCGTCCGGGTACGTGGGCACGCCCTCGAACAGCACCTGGGTCGCGCCGTTGAACATGGGGCCGTAGGTCACGTACGAGTGGCCGGTTATCCAGCCGCAGTCCGCGGTGCACCAGTAGACGTCGCCAGGGCGGTAGTCGAACACATACTTGAACGTGGCCCCAGATCCCACCATGTACCCGCCAATGCTGTGCTGCACGGCCTTGGGTGTGCCTGTGGAGCCGCTGGTGTACAGCTTGAAGGACGGCTCCTCGCTGTCCAGCCACAAGACCGGGCATTCCGCGGGCTGGGGCGCCAGCGCGTCGTGCCACCACACGTCGCGGCTGGGCGTAAACGGCACGTCCGACCTGTTCAAGGCGGTCTGGTGGTCCTCCACGAGCACGGTGCCCACGTCGTGGCCCTTGGCCGCGCACAGCGCGATCGCCTCGTCGACGATCTGTTTCAGGTTGAGCACTTTGGGCCCGCGGCGCACGCCCGAGGACGTCACCACCAGCTTGGCGCTACTGTCCAGCATGCGGCTGGACAGCGACGCGGCCGAAAACCCCGCGAAGACGACGGAATGCACGGCGCCGATACGTGCGCAGGCCAGCATCGCGATCGGCAGCTCCGGCGTCATGGGCATGTAAATCGTCACATCGTCGCCCTTGCCCACGCCCACGCTCTTCATCCAATTCGCCAGCCTGCACACCTGTTCCTGCACCTGCCGGTAGGTCATCGCGCTGGACACCCCCGGGTCGTTGCCCTCCCACAGGAACGCGACCTTGTCCCCATCGCCTGCCAGCACGTGACGGTCCACGGCATTGTAGCACAGATTGGTCCGAGCACCCGGGAACCACGTGATCTGCACGGGCCCCTTGCGCACGTCGAAGTTGTAGTCCACGATCGGCGTCGACCAGGGCGTCTCCCAGTGGTAGGACGACGCCTGGTCTCCCCAGAAGGCGTCCGGGTCCTCAATCGACTGTCTGTACATTCGCTCGTACTCATCCTGGCTGGTCACGTGAGCCTTGGAGGCCAAGTCGGGTGGGGGAGGGAACAGGTCCGCGACGGCGGCCGCCGTGGGGAGGGCCTGGGCAGGCGCAGCCAGACAGACTGGGTGTCTCTATTGGGGGGGGTGTCCACCGGAACTGTGTGCACAAGCGCTTCACGACCAGCAAAAAGGGTTGCAACGGGTGTGGGACTCGGACAGGCACGTGGCCGGACAATTTCACGGCTAGGGAACCCGACGGTTCCCCGCACACCCACAGGATGCGCAGGGGCGCGAGGAGGCGCGGAGGGGCAGCTTTTGTACGGGGTGCAAGAGGATAGAGCCCACACCAGGCTTTTGTGGTGCGATGGTCACCCACACCAATACTCCCACACCAAGGACCAGGTGAAGTGCGAAACGGTGAGAGCCCGCCAAGGTTTGTGTGGTCTGGGATCAGTCGCCCAGGAGCCGCTGGACCCTGATCAGCCGCGCACAGTCCGCAGGCCTCTGGCGGCTATGACGCACAGCATGACTGGGAAACAGATAGCTATAGCTGCGTGCAAAGATGGGCGTCTCAAGGCAGCAATCAACCCAAAAAGCGCTGGATCATCGATGCCCAACAGCGAGGTGCGCGCCCACCTGTCTCATCCATCTGTGTGGGGACGCCTGGGAATGGGTCCAAAACCTGTAGCCCCAAAAGCATGGACCGGTGGAGACGCTGCATCGCGGCATGCTGGCCATGGGCATGATGGTGGTCATGCGGGCGGCGGGGGCCACTGGCGCCATGGTGGGCATGCCGTTTGGAGGCCGCTGCAAGTGGGTCCCCCGCCCCAAGGCCCTGACGCCGCTCGTGCCACTCTCCTCCGGTCGAAGGGAGTCGCTCTGGTCTTTGAGGAGCTGAAGCGGAAACTGCCCCACTGTGAATATTGAGCCCAACGACCAATTTGAATCTCACAAGCAGACTGGTGCAGAAGTGCTCCTGCACTACTGCAGGGGACGTTCACAACTGGGCACATCATAGGTAGAGGATTCGACAGAAAACAGCACCAGCGTCAGCAGCAACAACACCAGGGAGGGATCAATTGACTCAGGACCCAGAGGCCGGGACTCCCGTCTCGACTGCTCTGGAGACAACCCACAGTGCCTCCGCTTCGCTGACACGGACGGCAGTTAAAGGGGCGGACGCGGAGAGCCTGCTGGTTCTCGATCGCATCCGGCAGCTGATACGAGAGCAAGCTGTGGGGCCACGCTCACGGGCCAGGCTGTCTTCACAGGCTGGTGAGCTTCCAGCGGCGGTTGCATGCGACAGGAAATCTACCCTTGTGGATGAACCCAAAGGCCTTGGGGCCGAAACGCGGTGAGGAGAGAATCAGAGATTACCTAGGGATCGTCGCCTGGTTGGCGAGGTTGCACGTCGCTCGGCAGGGCGCCCGCCGATTGGGTTGGACGTTATGCCATCGGCCCCTCCGCTGCGCTACCGCGGTTCGCGCGCTGTGGGCAGTGCTCAGCGGTGTGGGTGCGTCACTTGCGAAGGAGCGAATATCCCAAAGCTCACACCGCTCATGCGCCATGCTGTCGGCTCGAGCTCGCGGGCGGTTGCGAGGCTGCTTCCGGACCTCGGAAGCGCGCGTGTGCCTGTGCTGTCCTGCGCCTTGGTCGCGCGTGGACGCACAAGGCAAAGGGCGCGTGCCCAAGTTGCCAGACGTTTTCTGTCGCTGTTGCTGGCGTGCATAGACACGAGGGTCAGCTGTTGGATGGCCTGCTTGGGTGCACCGCGTGGCATGAGACCGGCACTGGACGTTCAGCAGAAGCACATCGGCCAGAGACGGCCTCGTCAGAACGTTGACGAAAAGGCGGGTGTCCCGAATTGTCAGTTTGAACGTGCCCATGCTTGCGCCACTCAACGACAGTATGAACTGGCTGGGACCTCAGCGCTCTTTCGCGGGAGCTGGGCTGGACCGTCCGCACTGTATGATCTAAACTTGTTTGGGAGACGGACATCAGCTGCGCATTTGCAGAGAGCTGGCAGCAGTGCTGAGGGATTGGAAACCGTAGCAGGGTCCTCCCAAGACTGCTTCTGTTTGGATTGCAGACAAGGTGGACTGCTGACCAAAGTACTGTGGACATCTTGGAAACCATGGTCCAGACATCGTCACTCTGCTGACTAATAAGGCTGAACGGCCCTTGTGGGTGCCAGGGCTACTGCTCCATGCCGTAGCTCCTATTGTGGGCATTGCAATACTTATAATATCACCGCTTAACTGTGAACAATCATCACTTTTGGGATCTTAATCTTGGATGCATGAAGTTCTTGGCGAGTTTGCCCCATTTCCTCCACAATGGTTTTCAATGCTCACCCACAGGTGTGTAGCTCAGACGCAAACTCAAATGGGCAACTGTGACCAAATACCTGTGTACGTTCTTTGAGCAGGGCCACCAGCACAACTCTAGACTAAAAGCCCACCATTGCCTGGTTGCCTAAATAGCACCAGGTGTGTGGGTGCTGCAATGCTGTGGACTCTATATGTTGCCGCCACACTCTGCCTCAACCTCTCCATTGCGGATGCTGTCACCTTTACATTTGATGAAAATTCTTGGACGAAGTCAACATGGAAGGATTTCAAGATTAATAGGCCCAAAGAACTTTGGCGGGTCAGTGACGACCCAATTGTGTCGAAGCATTTGGCGAATCTTCAGGATACAGGATACTCATTCATCAGCGCTCAAGGGCCCCAGAGCGGACTGGGCAGTGAAGGCGACATGTGGAGTTCTGAAGATGTGGATGCACGACCAGGATCTGATTTGGAAGCAGAACTGTTGAGTGCTCTAAACAGTTTGGCCGCAAGTGAGGCAGTGCTTGACCCAGTGTGCCACAGCATCGTAGAGAATACTTGGAGAGCAGGCACAGCATATGCACACAACAGGCAGCCCATCACTGAGGATAAAGTCCACTGGCGACTGGCAGATGTGTGTCCAAAAGTCGGGGAGGATGTGCTGGAGAGGTTTGCGCTGTCCAAAGGCCCAGGTCAGGAGTGGACGCCCCAAACGGCTCACAGGTACCAGTTGGACAGAAGGCGGCAGGGCCAGCCGGTCACTGCCAACGAAGTCAAAGCTGTACAGTTGTCTTGTGAGAGGCTGGTGAAGATACGCAAAGACGAGTTCACCAAAGCTTTATACGGAGGCCTTGTGCAATATGCTGCCGCTGTTTCTGCCATTGTAGATCGGCAGGACAAGGGCAAATCCTTGGAATCAGGCAGTGGTGAAGATGAGACTGAAGGAAGTTCTGAAGAAGAACCGGCACAGGAAGAAGAATGTGTTGACAGACACCAAAAGTGTGAGAAGTGGGCAGACGAGGGAGAATGCCAAAAGAACCCTAATTACATGGTTGGGGACTCAAAGGGGTATGTGGGTAACTGCCGGCTGAGCTGTGGTGTGTGCGAGCCATCAACCAACATTCAACGGTGCGTCTGTGTATGTTCACCCCATGTGGAAGCCAGATATGTGTGTTTCTCACTGCCATTGGCTCCATGTTTAGGCAGTTGTCGCTTACAGTGTTGGGTGGCCAACCTACTTGACACCCTGTTGAACTGGAGCGAAATTCTGCTGAGAGGAGCGTTCAGCAGTACATTCTCAACATCACCCATGTCTTGGTGCCTGTTCCTTGCTCAATGCGCGGCGAGGTTGTTGCGAGCATAGTCATTCTGAAATTCTATTTGTTGTGGGCTGGAAGATTTGGCAACCTGTATTTGAAGCGAGATGAGGCACACAATCTTACACAAATAGGCGCCGATCTGCTGAAAGATGCAAAGATGAAGGCCTGCCCTGAAATATCAACATCCCTTCCTCGACCTCCGCAGAGGATTCTTCTGAGGCCAAATCAGCTGCACATCATTCGAATGTCTGCTGTGTCGCCACCACCGCCAGATGCCTCTGCTGTAGCAACAGCCTTGTACAATGACCTAGGAGGGCATTGCCTTTACCTCAATCAAGGGTGGTGGACTTATGAGGTGCGATCCCCGCCCGGTTCTACATATCTGACAATTATACATTGAGATAGTGAAACCACACTTGGTCAATTCTAGGCTCCCAAGAAAATGGGATCTTGCTTTCATTCACAGCTGCACGGTATCACTCAAACCTGCTGGAGCTCTGGGCACACTTTCAGGCCAATGAAACCCCAGCTTATTACTTTGGCAACACAACCATTAGTGCAAGTTGCCAATTTTCGCTTGCTGTGGAGCCCTTGGGCAGGCCCTTGCTTCTACTGGATTGGCGCACTGCAAGTGTAATTGGACAGTGGTGGTCATATTCGGTGGTTTTGTTGCGAGTACGTATTCACATTTTCTTCTCTGAATACTATTTGTTGTTGCCCTCGTCTTTTTTGTGCTCTGAGATACCATAGTAGCCATAGATCGTGGGAAGGGGGGTGGCAATGGCAGTTGGGCACAAGGTGACCTGTTTTCCTTCTTTTAGCAGCACAGTAATCAGGGTGGCGTTCTTTTGCTTTTGACAGGTCTGTTTCATGACCAAGATAAGGCAGCTGCACCTTGACAACTCAGGTGGCATTGCTACAGAACACCTGATAGGCAGCTACAGGGAAGAAGCATTAGGGAAGCCAGGGCTATTGAAGATTGGCGAAGATGAAATGTCTGAACTGGGGCTTCCTGGTCAGGCCAGGTCCTATGTTCGACACATCTATGACGGCGGTGCAGAGTGCACCGTCAACGGAAAGTCTGTCCAGCGAAAGGCGGAAGTCCGAATTGCGTGCTCCCCTCGAAGCGCTACAGCCTTGGCAGTCAAAGAGACCAGCGAGTGCGAGTACATGTTCACCATTCTTGTTCCTGGGCTGTGCCAGCTGGAGGACTACCAAGAAGACAAGAGTGACCATAGTGAATTGTAATGCTGCAAGGCGCTGTGTAATATCAGAACTGGCTTTGGGATGTGCGGGCTGCTGTGTGCGACTGTCGTTCATGAACCCCTGTGCCAGCAGATCCAGCGTGTCAAAGCGCCCAAGTTGGAGGCCACCTGCGCCGTGCTGTGTGCAATGTCACTGTATGATTCTGGTAGAGATGCAGATGCCCTGGGACACGTGCCTTGGAAACTTGCACTCTTTGGAGGCCACGCTTGATATGTTGGTGGAGCTACATCAATCACAAGTCGCAATGCCAGGGAACCCATTTTGCAACAAGAACACCCTTTACCGTGTTGTGTGCCGAGCCATGGCTTGGTCTTTGGTTGGCTAATGTAGGAAAGGGCTGCACAAGCAACGGGCTGAGTGTTTTTTCTTTTTTTTTTGGTTTTGGACTTGATCAGAAAACGGTCTGCTCGCACGTCACAGATGGCACAGTAGCATGCAAGGGTGCAATGGGACGAGCTGGCGAGTGCACGTCAAATCCATCTCTAAGCACTGGAACGCACGCTGCCATGTGAGCGCTGTAACGATGCAATTCGTGTCTGTCCTTTTTGTGCACGCATCTGGTAGGTAGACACGCTCCCCATACGCAAGGGAGCTGGCAGTCAGGGTGCTGCTACAAAACAAACCCCACGCACGCATGAGGCAAGTCAGATCCAGTCGGTTTTCCTCATCATCGTCTCCATTTTCTCTCTCCCTATTTGCCGTCACATTTGCACCAGGTAATGTCTCCACCAAAGTGCAAATCTCCAACACCATATCCGATGATTCAGCCGAACCACGCCCAATACCCTGCAAGGGACCATCTGTTGCATTAACGGTGCAAGGCCATCATACGTTTTACTGGCATGCATGCAGTCCAAACGCGCACATTGTGGATTGTAACCTTGAAGCAACGTCTGCTGCAGCTCAACACCATTACTTGTGGAAGCCTCTGTACACAACACTGGATTCACAATTAGATGCCGGCGGGGTGAAGCTCTACCATCTGATCGCCGTTCAAAGGCCTTGGACGGTACGGTGTGTGCGTGGAGGCAGCGACTTGTTGATGCTACGTGGCAATACATGGACACACCCATCTCCCGGACCCCGAAGTCGAGAGTGGCATCCTGTGAGATGGGTCGCTGGTGGGCCCGAACGTCTGAGCCGTTGTCGAAATTGTCCATGGCTTCCACTGCTCCATTTCGAAAGATGACCAGCGATGGCCAGCTCACTGGAACAGGTAGTAATCGCTGATTGCAGGCGTGTCGTTGAAACACTGCCATTTGGGTTCTTGCACGCCATCCTGTTAACGGAACAGCATGCAGCACAGCTTTGTGTTCCGGCAATTGCATCCAGTTGAATGGAATGGTGGTATGGCATCCGGCCCATCGCTGCCATGTCCTAGATGCTCCGTGAACGGATTGATCTCGCGCAATTCCAAGATGCCGATCGGCTTGCCCGCACGCACTTTGCTGTTTGCACCTGACAAAAATCGGACAGCATGAAGATGCTCTTGCTGCCGCAATGCCTTGAAACTGGAAAAAGGGGGAAGCAATGTACCTCACCCCAGTCTGCTGACGTCGGCTTCGTTGCTCCACATGGAAGAAGGAGCAGGGTTGAAGCATCTCCTGTGCTCCATGTAACATGATGATTTGCAGTCCGTTTGTTAGGCTGTTCCGTGCAATGCCGTTATTCATAGTAGAAGTTCATGCGCAGCTTTTGTGTGTGGGAGTCTGTTAATGAGAATCGCAATCTTCAGAGGGTGGCTGAAGATCAACAGCTCCTGAATATGAGAACCGATTGCTGTAAAATCCGCTGATGTTCCCGCCTCGTTGCTTTACCACCAGGGTGGTAACACAAGATTCGCCAGCGACCTCCGCATCTATTCCACAGAAGACAACCTGACACACAGATGAACGCCACCGCGAGTAGCAGCCTCCCCAAGCGACACCAAGTGGCGTTGTTTCTGGCATTCATTTACGTCGGAGTGCACAGTAATACTGTGCACTCCGCCGAAAATGACTGTGACAGTATTCGCCGTCGATATTCCTCATGTTAATTCTACTTTTTCTTCCGCAGTTTTTGTGTTTTGCTCAATCGCAGCGCATTGCTCCCGCAGCGGGACAGGTCGCCATGAGATTCCCGGCGCGTGGTGGTGGTCAATTCTCGTGGCTTATTCGTGGATACCAGCCCGCTGCCTTTGGCACATTTTGTGGACACTTGTAGAATGCAGACATTGCCAACAACCTCCAATGGGTGGTGTGGCTGCTGCAGTTACAAACGTCTACGATACACGGCAGAGGTGTTGCTGCAAGGTCATTGGGCACTGCTCTCCAATGCAATGGTTCAGTACATTTGTAGTATCCCGTTGGAAGGGGATCCACCGCATATCGCCATCGCTGATATTTGATCGATGATTTTGTTGGCTTGTGGCAACAACCTATATACATGCCAGTCGATTGGACTTCGACAGCCAAAGTGCGGAATATTCGTACAAAGCCTGCTTCAACGGCGTTGACGATGAAGCATTGCTCATGAGCATGAGCAAAATATATCTGTGCCAACTTGCCAAGTTGGCACAGAAATTCTGCGCTCATTGAATGCACACACCTGGGAACATTATTGGCACAAATACGTTTCGTGCATTGAACTGGCAAAACGTCGGGGCAAGGCCCTACTCTGAACCGGCATGGAAGGGACTTTTATCCTACGGTGAGCAGCAAGTACGAGTTTGATACCCATGCCTGTGTATCTTCAAATTCTTCCCAGCGGATTTCTTGTCTGGTAAAACTTAACTGAACAGCGGAATGGCTACAATTCGACGAAATGTCCACCAAAGTGTTGAAGAATGACCCCAAAGTTGGACAATTTCCTGCAAATGTCGCAGAGGAACGTGACCATCCGGCAGGCAGCCCGCAGCATATGCTGGGCCCGACCTCATGTGAATGTCCCAGCTGCGGGCAGGTGTCGCAACCTATCCAACAGAGCAGTGCAGAGCAGGGCTCCCCAACTTGCGCGGCCTCCAAAGTTCAAACCATGGCCAGGAAGTCTTACGACCTCCAGCTGAGGCTGACCGTCCCCACGCGGACCCTCCCGATGGTGCTCGTGGCGGCCCTGTTCTTCGTGGGATCGGCCTTGGTCGTCATTGCCACGCCCATAGTCCACGACAAGTGCGGGCGCACCGGCCCCACCGCGTGGGCGCTGGTCTTCGAATGGATGGTGGCCGCGGGGGCGGTTGTCGCCACCGCCTTGGGGCAGCTCAAGCGTCGCGCCACGGCGCTCATGGTGTTCGTAGCCATGGCCACGCAACTCTGGGTGGCGGAGATTCCCAAGTACATTCCCGGGACCCGCGACGTGTGGTTCGACTCAGGCCGTGGGGACATGTGGAGGTGCCGGGGAACGTTGCGATTCGTGGCTGCCGGCGCCATTATTTTGTCCATTGTGAATTTCACGGCGCTGATCTTCCTGGCGACGGATTGGCCCGTCGACGGCCAGACGATGCGCCTTGGCTGCCAGTCGCTGCCCAGGTTCATGGGGCTGCGGGTGGTCGAGAGGGACTCGGACGAAGAGGACGGCGAGGGCGACGAGCGAGAGGGGCTAGGGGCCGCCGGGCAGCGCCGGGGGGAAGGAAAGGGGGGCGCGTCGGGAAGCTCCGGGGAGCGTGTGTAGGGTTTTGAGACTAAAAACTTTGAGTGCGTGGCTGCATAGGGCCTTGAGGGAAGCCGCCTTGTGACCCGGTTGGAATGTGGGTGTGAGGATGTTGGAAGGCGATCAGCCAGAGGAGTGCGGTCGGAAATATGGTGGAAATACGCGCAGGAGCATGGGTGGGAATGGGAAGTGGAATGTGCCATCATGCGGCGCGAAAATATGGCGCAGCTGGTAAATTCTAAATTGGTAGTGGCAGCTCGAATGTGTGGGTGGCAACATTGGCGGGCACAAGGACGCCGCTGGAATGCGACGAGTGGAGAATGTGTAGCACACAGAATATGTTGGATGTTATGTCCTAGGGCAGTCGCTACGTTGGTTTTCGTACGTTTGAACGTCAAACTGAAAAGAAGGGGTGGCTCTCTTGAGATTGGCGACACAAAGTAATTGCATGCTTTCCACAAAAATGACAAGAGCTAAGAAGAGGCCCAAACTGCCATTATCTTCTTTGAAAGTCTCCGTGGAGCGTTAAAGTAAGGAGGGCACCCGAATTGGCTCAGTTGATCATCTCAACATTGAGTTGTCCTCATAGTCCTCATACCATGGCATTGTTAATCAATTTGATCTATTTGTCAATTCCAATTGGAAACAAAAACAAGAACAGACAGTCGAAATAATCAATGATGTTCGCTAGGAGCCCGCCATCGCTCCGCACTGGCCGATCACATGCCTATGCGAAGGAACCAACAACGATGAGTGGAGTTAGTGTGCACAGTTTGTTGCTTGGTGGTGCACATCAGGGAATATATAAAATGGCCCAGTAATATACATTCAACTACTGTAAAATTCGTGGCCGAAACATGGACAGACCCTCTGGGTAGCACAGCAAAAGATTCGCCCATCCCCTACCCCAGAGGGAATGAAGACAGCGACAAAAGGTGGTGAGATTGGGTCGCTTTGCATGCATGCTGCTGGCAAAACGGCCATAGAAACATGGGCAAACCTGCCCACTGTCCATGCATGTCCAGATGCATGCAATCCAAAAGGACAGGGATAGAAGCGCTCACAGAAACCGCAGTGATTCTCACAGATTCATCCAGAAACTCAACCAGCCCGAATGGCGAGCATGCCATGTGTGCATCACGCTGAAACCCGAACGTGTGGGACCGAAAATCGCTGGCTTTGGAGCCAAACTGGCCGAGCTACACGCCACGACCTGTGCACAAAGGCCACACACTCAGAGAACACCAACAAGGTGCTTACAACTTCACAAACCGTTGTTCGTTCCATTGCATCCCCTCCAATAATGGGCAGCGCAAACTTGTCACTCGGCAATCGCCCAAAATAACCCTTCATAACCT